GAATTTAGATTTGCTTCATTCCTTAATTTCTGAATTGGAGCCAAGCTATTTCAATGGTGCATTTTTGTGGTAAAAACATGGGGAGTGCAGGGTGCGGTGAGAAAAAACAGACAGGCTTGGGAATCAGAAGATTCCATCTATAAGGAATTGTGCTTTAAATGGACACAAGAGTCTACAGCATATATTCATCTCAGACATCAGCTCAACAAGTGAACATTTCCACAGCATATAATGTAGTGTCATAATACAACAACAGAGGAGAACTATGACAGCAACACCTTCAGTTTAGTATTTTAAATGTCTAAGGTGTACTTTTGGAGCAAATAGGCATCTGAATTTGTGGAATTTGTATTTACAATGAGCAAGAGAAACCAAGTTCTTATCAAGGTTTTGAGTAAAACTCCTGGCATCCTGGCAGAACGACCCCATGTAGCCGCACCAAATCATATCCTGAAAATGTCAGCCTAAATTAACTTTCCACAGTGATGGTGCCATTTTTCAAATGAAAAAAAAATCAAATGTCAAAATAATTTGAGAAAGTAATATTAAAGTTTAAACCATGCCAGAGTGTTTTTATGCATTTTATCACAGAGGTTTGTGTCAAAACCCTTAAGATTACTTCAGAGCTGCAAATTAAAATCTTTTATTGGGCACATCAGCATGATACTGAGTGATCTGCTGGTCATTTCTTACATTCATACGTTACTGATGATTGACATGTTTAGCTAGAGCTTATTAAGTACAAGTTAGCTGTTTTGTGCTTGAGCTGCTATCATTTCAGCACGCTGTCACGGTTACACAGCTTTAGAAACTCCTGGCTTGCATTTTGAATTACGAGAAGTGGATGACTCTAACCACTAAACAGTTGAGGCTTTACACTCAAGCCAGTCATAAATATGTAAAATGTTCACACGAACCCTGCTTTAAATCAAAACAAATTATATAAATGCCTATAATGCAGGACTGGAAAACAGAGAAACATGTTTTTGGCATATAGTAATGAACCAACATCTTCCTTCAAATGAGCACTGTTTTAAACCTCTCTTTAACACAAGTACAAAACTACTTGTTGTTAGATGCAGGTCACTTTACAAGGAATGTTTTATCAGTGCCAAGTCACTGTTCTACCACCACATTACTGCCACTAGTTGAACAACAACCACTTCCAACAAAGTCTGTTATCAAGCTTGTTTGTTCAACCCCGCCACTCATTAGCAGACCCCCCTCTGGCTGTATGAATGGATAGGGGAGGTCAACACACTGACCCTGCGTGCCCACTCACTGCCCATACTGCAAACAACAGAGGACCGTGTGTTCTGCAGATTGCATCACAGCGCCACTAACGAGCAGAGCCATTGGCCTGAGAGCACTAATGCAATTATGTAACACAAGCCCCGCTACTGTGAGTCTGGGCTATGGGAGAAGAAGAATGAATTGGATGTGACAATTTGTGGGTTTGTTATCTTATCATTCCTATATAGGACTCAAGACGCATTCAGTGTACACTGCTGTGATGTTCACTGAGGGGAACAGAGAGACGAAAGAAGAAGCAGAAAAAGAGCTATGACAAGGAATTGCATAGAAAGAGAAATTGTAAAAAAACAGAGATGAACAGGAAAAAGACCCATTTTGCTTAGAGGATGAGGCAATATAAAATAAAAGATGCACAATCGAAAATAGGGAGTAGCTGATTAGCATGTTGTATTATGTAAGCAGTCTGTCGAAAGCCATCCGGGGACACACAGCATCCCCAGTAAACAATACCTTTAGAGCTGCCTCTGTTCCGTGTGTGCTTCTCGAGATTAGTGTACTACATATAGAGCTAAAGCTAGTGCTTACAATACCATAGAACACCAGGCTTCAACCCAAGACAAACACTACAAGCTAATATAAGCATACTTGCAAGGAGATAATAGAGCAAGCAAATGGAAGGAAATTGTTGGCACTGAATGCCAAAGCAATTTCAGAGATAAAGCTCGACTAGACATTTAGATGTGGTGTTACAGCCAGGCTCCCATTATGGCTTCTCAAATGGTTGAGTGAGGGGGGAACAATTGTTGGTCAACTAGGAATCTGAAACACTTGAAAAATATGATGCTTAAATTGTAATGTTGCAAGCTGAAAAAAAACCCTCACTACATTTTGTTCTCAGAAGATGTACAAAATCACTGACTCTATAAAAGCAAGAAATTAAGGCTTTAAAAAAAGAAAGTCTTCAGAGATGACAAAGAGCACTTTGAGCACTTAACTCCTAAGTAGCAGGACTATATGGCAGGTAAATGCCACCTAATCTACACACAAGAGTGTGTCTAAGATCATAGCTTAGACAAGTCATACTCATAAGAGGGTGCACTTAGCAACAAATACATTGCCACTTTAAAATTAGTTTTCCGAATGATTTTCTTACTTTTAAGAAAGAATTTTCTACAACGTATGAAAGGTAGCCACAAAAGCATTCTTTCTTCACTGAGTGAATCCAACCTTACACAAATAAGTGATAACTAGAAATAGAAGCAGTAGCAAAGAAATTACTCTGGATAATGGTCTCTCTCTGCACTTTCAGCTAAATTATTCGTAAACACTGATTGCAAATAATAATGTGAATAGTAACAAAGATGCCTCTTGGATAACTGGACTGCTATGAATGGAAAAAAATAAAAAGATACCTTAGCCTAGCGATTAGCATTGAAACTACATCATGATGAATGACTTAATATAGTGCTCATTTATTTAAGTGTATTAGAGACAATAAACAAACCAGTTTGAAAATAGCTTTTCATTTTAGGCAAGGAGTACACTGAAGCGGAGTGGTTATCAGCTGTGGCTCAGATTCCCCAAACATAGTCTGGATTCCCCAGGTACCAGTGTTAAGTGCCGAGCATGAAGATAAGAGGAACTTGATTAGCAGGGGTGCTATATTTACTGCCATTAGACAGGGCCCTTTAACCTCTAAGGTGGTCCAGAACACTGGAAGTATCTATCTGAGGAATCGCCATGTGTTCTAGGTATAAGACACACAGAAATATTACCATCTCAACATTTTCTATTCCTTAAATTTAAGTGACGTCATAGATAAATGTAAACTTCACAGTTCTAACAGGAACAACCTCAGAAGCGATGAAAAGCTAATATGTTTCTTCTCAGTTTGACAACAAGAAGAAACAAGACAATCACTTTTCACAAGACTCAAAATTAATAGTTCTTGATTTTTTTTATGTCAGGGCTTTGGGGTAGATCTAATAACGCAGTCCCATGCATAATTGCATCTATTTTCATGAGGGATATTGCTCCCCTTAGAGAGCGTTGTTGATGTTAATGGAAATGAGCAATTCTGAGACTAAAGACAGTAAGCAGGAATCTCAGTATTCTGAAATATTTGTATAAATATAAAGGCATCTCTTACAGTATTTTGCATGTCCGACAGTCTAATAAAGCCACTTGTTTACTGCCAGTATTCAACATGTTCACATGAGACTGAAATTCAAGAGTCTTGTGTTTGCTGTTGTTAACTTATGAATGCCTTTGTCCTTTTGTGCGTTTAACAAATACCCGCTATCAGAAAGGAATGAGGAAGAGGAGGGTAAAAACAGAGTTACAGTAACATGGGAATTGAAGTTTTTTTAAGCTGTTCAATGGTGAGACAGTAGCATTTCTGTACAGCCCTGGTAGGCTCTGTGATTTGCAAAACACAAACAGCTAAAAATCAATCTGGATTTTATTCTAGACATAAAATTAATACGATCTGTGTTCAAGTGTGACTTTTTTCAGTCTTTCTCCAACAGACTACCTACTTTCTAAGCCTCCCAGTACAAGTAACACAGAGCGGTTTTACAAGAGCACTGCTGAGTTATAAAAACAAATTAAGTTTTAGTGGGACTTGACTGAAGCGTTTATATGTATGAATAATGACACCTATACTATTAAAACATGTGGTGCCCTATGACGTTGACAGCAAACCGACACAGCATCTCTCTGTATGTGAGATCCAGGAGAAAGCGAACCAAGCGGCCCGTGCTTCGAACCGAGGCTGGGAACCACCCCTTACTGTGTACCCAAGGGGTCAAGGTGACATTCCACAACACCTCTGAGACTGGCCTAATGGAGGGATTGGTGCATGGCTTTTGTTGAATGGGAAATAAGAGACCATGAAAAAGGGTGTAACAAGAGATGGAAGTGCGTAAAAGGGACTGAAGAGGAAAATGAGATTCTGGGGCAAAATTATGAGAAGGTAAGAGGTAAACAGAAAGAGCACAGGGAAGTTTTGCGGGGTTAAATCATTTTTTTTCTTTATGCTTGGTCTATCACGACAGAAGCCAGATTTTTCTTTTGTGTGGATTTAATTTCAATGTTCCCTGTTTAGTTAAAATGTCACAACTATGTACACAAATCTGGTAGGGTCATACATAAAACTTTTCAAACCCTCAAAACTGTAATCTAAGTTATTTGCTTATGCTATTTCTGAGGTGACCGCGGTGGAAACCACTGTTTTTATTTGACACCATTTCCCCTGTCCACTGTCACAAAAGACAAAAATTCTACACTTGCCCTATAATTGTGGCTTTTGGCAGAACGGATAAATACAATTCCCTTTTGGTGTTGGGGTTGTAAAGTCTATTCAGATCTCTTTTAATTTGCATTCTCTTTAAAGTATGATGTGCTCATACCAAGTAAATATAGACACACGACAATTGAGTAGACAGCAGCACAATATCTGTCTGTATTCAAGCGTGACATTATAGAAACACTTTAAAATAAATCACTTAAAATATACTGACACATCATCAGAAAATCGAGAAAGTTAAATAAACCAATACTGAATCCATAATCTTAAAAAAAAAAAGTGCTCTCCTGTTATTTCACATTGAAATGTTCATAAGCATCAATTAAACACAATCCTGCAGCACGAGTATGCTTTCTGACATTTAACCCTAAAAATCTGACCCCCATAAACCACAGTGCAGGTGCGACAGTCCATCAAGCAAAGAAAACGGAACTCTTACCGTCATAAAACCAAAAGACTGGAGACTTGCTAGGAAGAGTCAGGTATAGGTGAGCTGTGAGTCCAAGTTCCCGTTCCTTTATCTTTTGTCTTTTTCCGTTCTGATTTTTTTTTTTTCGTCTTCTCTCCGTTCCAGACAGGCCTCTCCTTCCGATCAAGCTTTAGTCCCAGGTCTTGCCCCGTTTAATGCCTGAGAAGCACAGAGACAACAGAACGGGGAGAAAGTTAGAGAGCCAAAGAGAGGGAGTGACAGGGAAAGAGAGTTCCCTGTTTGGGTGAAGCAGTGATCAGATACGGCTATTTTCAGACTCAGGCATGCTCGTCTATGAGACTGGAAAGTTACCCCCAGTGTAGATGGGTGGGGGCAAAGTGACAGGGCTGACTATCTCTATTTTACCACACGCACACATGTTTGCATGCATGCATACCACAGTACACACACACATGCACGCAAAGATGGACTAAATCTAAGCGTGCGTGCGGTAAAAACACCACAACAGTCACACACACACGCTGTAACTCTATTGTACATATTCCCACATATACCAACATCAGGTAGGTCCACCTTTGACCAGTGAAGATGGTAGTCAGCATGAGCACACAGAGATGGTTGTCAGAGAGCCTCCACACAGCCTCTCCTCCCAGGTCTTAATGTCACACAGCGGCCGGTGTCGGAAACTGACTGGAGTGTCAAATTGTTCTCACATGAGATTTTCTTTCGCTTTTTGTTGCTGACCGTTTGACTTCCTGCCAAGAAGGCTCACTGTGGGATGTGTAAATGAACCCACACGCACATGACACACATTTTTTTCTCTTTTTATCCATGTCAATAAACCATGTGCTGTCAGTGTCATATCGGAGTGTAAATATAAACACAAATTATGTGGCTACTCACCTGTTTCATTAGTAATCTTTCTTCTGTGTAATCCATATGGGAATGTATATTTGGAAATGACCACACACATACACACACAAGCTGAATATACACAGGAGAGAGGTCAGCCAGAAGCACCTCTAGACCCCAGACTCCCTGCTATTCCCAGAATGATGATGTAACTACTGCTATTAGCATCTCATATTTAGAGCCTGGATACCTAAAACCAGCCAGGCAGCTACTGTGCAATATGCTATTTGGACATTATCCGTCTCCTCCTTTTAAACTTATGTTCAAAAACAAGACAGGCAAGGAAATCAACTAACAAGTTACTGAGCAGTAAGGTTCAGGAAGAGTTCTGCAGTCACTACAAAAGGAAATTCATTAGCCTATGGCAGCTCCATCAAGTGAATCCTGGATGATGACGTGTTTTCGCCAGCAAGAACAGATAGTCAAAACAATTGTGATTCAAACTATGATTGTTACAGTTACTGAGGTTTTGTCCAACTTTTTTCAGTGAGTGGTGGAGTGACATCATTCTAGTTCACTGCCTTTTTTTAGATAGCATGCGAATACCTAAAAACAATCACCGCCTCAAATGAGCTCACTGTAAGTCCCAACAACAATGACTTTAACTAGGTAGGCAACAACTATTTTAGTATAAAGCCACAAAGGGACAACGCTATACTCATTCACTAGCTCAGCCAAGTGCCAACCTGTTGCCAAGCTTTAAATCAAATGTGGATGGACTCAGTTGAGTTGTCCTGGATCAACACTATCTGTGTCTGCTGTCAACGTGCCAATGATGAAGTGGTAATGTAAAAATCCTATCTACATAGGCACAAATGGCTCCAGTGATAAGTAACACTCCTGTAACTATGTCCCCCAAACACCTAAGCTTCAGACCCAAAGCCCTCTGCAGTGATCAGTGTGTCAGCAGACATTATCAAACAGCAGCTGGCCCCCAGAAACTTCTGGTCACGTGCCAAGGATCACTGAGGTATGGTGAAAAGCTGACAACTGACAGGTGCTAATGATGTAACCTTGGGGCCAAAATCAGGGTAGTATCAGGGGACCAATAAAGTCCCGTCCTAAAGTGCTATCCAGTCCTAAGTCCTATTACAGACATTACCAACTACAGACTTTATCCTGTAACCTACATGACATGGTAATACAATTAAGAGATCTACATCAGTATCTAAACAAACATGTTCGATGGGTGTGATTTGACATTCATCCCGCGTTTAAACTTAATTCTGTCTTGAATACGTATGTCCTACCAAGTTTTGCATGTAAAAGAATGATTTCTAAAAACAATTAAAACCAACATGACACAGCAACAGTTCGGGAATGATCTCATTAAAGTACCCGGGCAAACTATTTTTATAGTGACTGACACAAACTCACACTCAAACACACCGACACTTTGACCTATGAGCCGCTCTGGACTACAGTAGCCGCGTCGACATGGTCTCACCCGTACAGTTTCAACACCTAATTCATTATCAGCTTCTGCAAGGCCCTGCCATTCCCAGTTAAGTAAGTGGCAGGATATAAAAAGCAGAAGAGCTGTGCATGTAGTAAGTGTCACTTACTGGAAAACACTTAAACCTGGGAAAAGATCAAAAAAAGCCAAAGTATATCCACAAATACAGCATGCTCGTCAACAGAGACGGTGCCAGCATTTTGTTGCTTTGGAAGAGCGTGCATTACAGTGGAATATGAGACAGGAATTCCAATATGTTATGTGTTGACAGAGTTTTTAGATGTAAATTAAGAATACAGACAGAAATATTATCTTTGTTTGGGAAAGCATACAGCTGTACTTTCCGTTGTGCCTATTTTGATGTGTGATTAACTGGATACTGCTGCAGCAAAAATCTGTGTTGCTGCATGTGTTTTTGTTTACAACGAACAGAAATTGTGACAACTATGCGAAATGCAGCGTACATTTTTCCATCTGCCATAATGTGCAAGCACCTGGTGACAAACATTTGACCAGCATCAACATCTGTGTAACAGAGTGCATGTGTGACCTGGCTTTGCACTCGGGGCACTTCCACTTTGAGCCTTTCTTTAAAATGTCACCTTTTTCTCGTGCTGTGATAAACCTGTATTTGTTCTTAAAAGCACTGGCACGAATAAGTGAAAAATTCAAAGGAATAAAACATTATTGGCAGTACTGGTCAAAGTAAAGATAAATAACTTTTTTATATATACATTTCTATATTTTAAGTTATCAAACTACTACATGCTCTGTATGCAGCGGACATGTTGAAAACACTCGCTGCATACACATGGAAATGTTTTCAGTAAATCCAACCCGCCTCAGCAGCTTTTACAGCATTTCTTCTGAAATCCTAATACACAAATAATGAAAATAACATGCACTTTAACAAACTATGTACTTCATGTAGTTTTTTCTGAACTTGCCAATAAAACTAGCATCTTTTCACATTTGAACAGTACATATGAAATGCATATGCACTGGTATGCTACTGTGCAAGCCATAGTAGGTGGAATGAGAGGCACTTCCCCTTATCATGATTGTTAGTTATTGCAGTAATAGTGCTATCAAGAATTAAACCTTTTATGCATACAATCCCATAAAGCCAATCTGTTAATATAGGCTTTACCTTTTCTGTGCCACCTTTTGCTGTTCATTTTTTTATTTTTTCAGGAAATCTCTTATTGACTAATGAACAAATCTGGCCCCATGAACAATAATCATCAAAACCAAGAATGTTCAAAAATACAATAGTCTTCAGGAAAAAGTGGCTCAGCAGATGACTAAAACGTTACCATCACCAAACGGCATGGTAGATGCTAAAGGTCACTGAGAAAGCTCAGGGAGCGAGCATTTCCTGCAGGCAGTGTCTTTTATCTGCGAGACTAGGAATTAGGCAGCTTTTCACACACCACTTGAGCCATGACATCAGCCTCTGAAGAAGGGCAGAGAGAGGGAGATAAAGGAGGAAACACAGCAGAGGGACAACGAGAAAAGAGAGTGCAGCGAAACAAAGCAATAAACAGAGAAAGGTTAAATTAAAAAGGGACGTGTGTGTGCGTAGGAGGGAGAGTAGAGCAGGGCCAAAGACAGCGAGAGTCCCCATGTTACGGTCTGTACTTTCAGAAGAAAATGCATCACATTCCCCTATTCCCTGATGACCTGCCTTGATCCCCCTTTCCTCCTCTCACTCTCTCCCTCCACCTCTATCACTCAAACATACATGAACAGTAACTCTAAACTGGCAGGTGCAACTGAGTTCACGCTAACAGAGCCATACTTTCCGGCTCATTGACCATCAATCACTTCAAAATGCTACGATCGCTCATTAAGTGTGTATATTTAAGCCTCTATGAGAGGCTGTTTATTGGTGCAGCAGTCCCCCTGCGAGACAGATAGCAGCCAACTGTTGCTTGACATATTGACTCCCACTGTGTGGCTTCCTCTCTGCCAGACACATGTAAGCAGTCACAAAAATACATACAATACTGTATCAAAAATACCATCCAGTGCAGCCTACAGCACATAAACACGCATTCACAGGACAGGTAGGCCTCACTGGGAGTGGTATGAGGTTCCCGGAGTGATAGGGTTACACTTTGTGCATCGTGGACACCTCCCCACTCTTCCCCAGCATTCAAATGAGTCCTACAGATACCATCCGTCGCTGCTGCTCTTTTAATTATTTCCTCATTACATCATCCTTTCATAGCAGTTATCAAAGCTGTATAGAAATGCAGCTGTTCTTTGTGTTTTGTGTCAAAACTTGGTCCAACAGCTGGAGGAAAGACAGGCAATAAAGCAACAGATTAGTCTTAAAATACGCCAAGGCTCAGAGCCCTATGGAGTCTCATTGGAGGCACCTATATAGGACACTGACTGATTTAAACCTTTAATGGCAAGTGGAAACAAACTCTCCAGTAGCAGAGAAAAACTGTAACTCAATGAAGACTTTAAAGGGCCCCTCTAAGGCATCTGCCCCAATAAAACACCACACGCATGAGTTGTAGCTGCAATATTGTGAAGATGGTGTTTGGTGTCATAAAACTAAGTAGCTCACAGGGCACAAGGGAAGGAATCCTGTTTTTTTTTTAATTGCACTGGATGAAGCGGTTGTAAATACAGATCAAAGTTGCCATATAGTTCTTTTTTTAAATCATTATCACACATACTGCTAAATACTGTACTGCACCACTGTATAAGTGCATGCTAACAATAGAGATTATCCTAATCTTCTAGGATGTGGGTTAAACGTGGATGCTTTAGTTTATGTTTACTACAATCGAGCAGGCTGTTTTCACATATTTCTCTTCCCCTACAATGTTAAACGATGTTCTTTCCACAGCTTAAAAAGCTTTGTGGTTTCAGCATTTAACATGTTCCCAGCGCCGGACCGCATCCCAGCCTAATGCATTGCAAAACACCAGTCCACCACTTTAATGGAAACAAGAGTCGAGCTAACCGCAGCTGGTTCATTTGTTAGGGTGTCCCTGGTTACAGCCACGAGGTTAATGTCGCTTGTAAGGCTCTCCAACACACCAAACACCAGCCTGTTTACCTGCTCAAACACCACGACGTTGAGCCGCGGGTCGGAGCTGCTGCAGCTGCTAAAAGCGGCGCGGAGGGAGCGACATTAGCTCCCTAACGACCCCGCCGCTGCTGCTGCTGCTGCTGCTGCTGTGTTTACGTACCTTAAAACGACTGCCGCCTCGCTCGACAGATTCCGGAGCTCACCGTCAGGTAGCCGGCCTCTCCCATGTGAAAAGTCCTCCTTCCAACAAGCGCACAAAGTGACGAACACGGCGAGCTACAGCGGCTCGGCAGCTAGCGGGGCGTCCGTCCGTATGATGAAACTGTACACCTGTTTTTCGACGCGCATGGATGTTGCCGCTGTCGGCCGGCTAAAGTGAAGGCAACTCCCTCTCTCTCTCGGGGGGTCAGCGGGCCTCGGGTAGCAATGCGGTGAAGCTGCCCCCTGTCCCCTTTCCTCCTTACGACACGACCCTCCGAGGAGAAGGAGGCGGCACAGCGGCGGCGGCACAATTAAGTTACCGCATGCCTCTCCGGGGCTAGTCGCGCCGCAGTCCCGACTCTACCGACGCTGGAGCGGCCGCGTCAGCCCCCACAAATGGACTGAATTTGTTTCCGTTTGTGTTATTAGTGAATGATGCCGCGGCGTCGTGCGCAAAATGGCCTCTGTTATTTTCATTCAGCAACAGTCCGCCGCGAGCCTCTCATTGGGTCCCGGTGTAGCCATGGCAACGCCCGCGGTTCAATCAGTGCTGGCAGAGGACGCAGAGCAGCGGCGGAGGTCCGTCTGCTGCAGAGACTCAGCTGAGCTCAGAGCAGGCTGCTCACCGTGTGGGAACGGTGGGACCGCGACAGCAATACAGGCAGGCAGGCAGGCCCGGGCTCTCCGCCTAAAGTTAGGCAGTGATTCAGAGTCTTGCTAGGAATAAGTTGGAGCTCTTCAAGCATCTGTGTCCGTTTCCCTGGCAGCATGTCACGTTGTCATCAACCTATTTCAAGGGGAATGTTTAGCTATTAATAAATGACAATTTGGTTACAGCTGGACCTGCTGGTAGAAGGGAGTGGTTTGAGCAGATGCAAGCAAAGAAATGGAAAATAAACCCTCAAGCAAGTGGTGGAAGAAGTATTCAGATCATTAAAGCAAAGTATCAAGAACTGCATGAGCATCCTACCTCTGACTGATAGAGCTGTTATTGTTTCTGACATGATTATATTATTAATACTGAAGAATTAGTGTCTTAGTAGAATGTTACTGTTGTGCAGTCGCCTTCAAATGTATTCATATCCTTCCATTAAAGAAAAGGCAAAATTCACAATAGTCACTCAAATAACTAGAAACTGAAAAAAGTAATAATAAATAAAAATTTGCTAAATTATAATTAAGTGAAATGAGACATTGCTTTTGAATTGTGGTTGAAAAGAATAATTTAAAAAAAACAAAAACAAAACTGTCCTGGACAAATGAGAGCACTTTGCTGATGAGCAGTGGACCAAAATCCAAAACACCTGTCAACAGGTGCAGAAGTCTGATTGAGAGTTACAGAAAACACTTGATTGCAGTGATTGGCTCAAAGGGTTGTTCAACAAAATATTAGTTCACGAGTCCCATCATGTTTGTTTGCTTGTTGTTTTTTGTTTGTTTGTTTTTTAACATTTCTGTTGAACCACAATTTAAAAGCAATATCATGATTTTCATTATTTTTTTAAAATTTATTATTAATTTTGTCAATTTCAACTTATTTCAGTGACAGCTGTTTTTCTTTCTTTCTTTAGTGGGAGGGTATGAATACATTTGAGGACGGCTGTAGCTGCCACAGGTGAAACAGGACAAATCAGTTTCTTCAGGTTTTTAGTGCGATACTGAATCACCTGAATGTTTATTCTAATGACACCATGTAAGAAGTTTAGTGGGGAAAAAAATCACTATTTGGAGGAACACTTGTCTCATAGACATCTGAAATGTGACCCCAGCTGCATTACTTTTTGTAAGGTGTCAGATGCCAGTAAAGGTCAGAGACCACTGTATTAGTCTTTAGTCTTTGCTTTACTTTAAAGCTTACTATAATATCAATTGTGTCAAATCTTCATCCTAAAAGCAACTAAACTGTCTTATAGATGCAATGGCGTACAAAGCAGCTGTAGTATTCTAAAATGTATTGGAGTGGATGTTTAAAGTAGCATTAAATGATAATTAAAGTACAAATACCTCAAAATTGTATATTAGTGTAATGCTACGTAACTCTACTTTCCATCACTGGCCCAAGCAAACCAACATTAATTTGAGCCAAAATAAGCAAATACACGGCCTCATTATTCACAGTTAAGTAAGCTAAATGAATAGAGATTAACTGGAGACGTTTTGTCTGGAGACAGGGTTGTTTGAAAATGTGAATTATTTTGTTATTTGTCCCCTGGTGTGATTTTGAGGATTACATATCTTTGCGGTCGACAATGTGGTGAGGATAAACAGCCTGCTCCTACCGACCATTAATCACCGCGGTGCATCTACACAGCAAGGTGTTTCAGCGTTAACACTGGAAGTGCTATCTTTTCACTTGCTGACAGAGCTGACATGATTTGGTGGCGGCAAAATCCTGTAATGATCTGGGAGTGTTCAACTGTGATGGGTGTTAAATCAGCACTGACCCACTGTTAGTTTGTACACATTGTGTTTTAAATTAAAACTGACATTTTTTTTTTCTTTTTGCTGTGAGGGCTGCTGGCCTGGCTGGGAAAATGTCAGAAGCTGAATTATGAGTTTGTCTCTTTAAGTGTCTTCCTGTAACAACACTGTATTTGTTTTAACTCAGTCTTCATTAGGCAAAGCAGCTGAACCGTGTCTTGATTTTTGACGGCTTAACTGTGGAATTCTCCCCCTGTGTTTCTGCCTCTTTCTTTCTCACATACACCAGCCTATTAAATTATTTACAGACTGG